TGTCATGATAGCATTCACAACTCATGCGAGATGCTAAAAGCATAAAATAACTTACATCGTACTCCGTGCCAAAAACAATTAAACTAGTTAAGCCAATATGCAAGGTTCATGTCAAAGTTGACTAATGCCAACACCATACATCGATGCAATTAGAGTAGGCTCGGCAACCTAAGCATGGCATGTGAAATGCGATCAATTGATGCACGTATTCAATTTGGAATTGAAGTACAAATACAGTTAGCATGATATACCGAGCCTGGTGCATGCAAGACAAATGCATGAATGCACGCATGCATAGCATAAGGTATGCTAAATTAAACATGTCCTATTACTAACCATCAAAGCAGGTAAGTAAAAGGGAGAAAAGAAGTGGGGGTGGAAGACATGCACACACACGCACCCACACTTATTACAGATTCGCCCTTGCTCGGAGGGACCAAAAGAATAATACAGTTTGAATAATGAATTAACTATCCTAGCTAATTAATTATTACAAATTACCTAATTAGTTAACAAATTAACTAAGCTAGGAAAAACAGTAAACCGCCTCGGGAGGAGAGCTCGATGCAATGCATGCTCGGTCTTGCTCGGAAGTGCACTGCCATGCGCAATCTGCCTCTGTTTTCCCTGCTCTGCTCCTCTGAAGACTGTCAAAGTCTCAGAATTGCTTCTCTGGATACTGGGGAGTGCCACCGGCTGAGTAGAATGTCCACCGGCAGTGGCATGTGATCACCGGCTGTTGGTGAAGCTGTCGGTCCTGGAAGGATTGCCGGTCGGCACTGGACACTGCCGGTCGGCAGAAGGTTCCTGCAGAATCTGCAATTGACAGCAACAGAGGGCAAGGCAGAGCATGGCAATGCAATTCAAGCAATGTATGCACCAATCATGTCCCTTATCATGCTAGTGACTCAAAGGGACATGCTCCTTGGTTCTCGGACCATCAAGCGCGCATTTCTATGCGTGATGGCCCAAGGGACTAAGTGTGCACATTTTGATGTCAAATGACATGCAATGCACACAATCAAATCAAGAGGCTTCTACCTCTATCATGACTTGGTCAAGAGGTAGAGCATGCGTGCCAATGCAATGCAACTCTAATCATGCCAACTAGCATGCAAGCATGAACATGGGCAATGCACAAACATGCAACAATATGTTAAATGGCTAGAGGAGAGAATGCATGCCAAATGTATTACAACCTAAGCATACAACAACATATCATGCAACTCAAGCACTGCAACAAAATGCAATTACGTATGGCATGCAACACAAGGTGAAATGGTGTGAATATGTGATAATGTGCAAGGCATGCATGCAATAACATAAGAGGATGGTCTTACACTAATTTGGACAGCCCTATGCTAGGCCCAAAACAGTGGCCAAAGCCAAGGAAATGAGGCCCAAAACACACGTACACATGTGTGCAAATATGGTCCAATTCCTAAGGCCCACCAAAGAAGCATTGAACTACACTTAGTGCAACCACACATGGCATGAATTAAATGACTAAAAACAGAATTTTAGCATGTTAAGACAAGGCCTAAAGATCACTTAGATGGCATCCAAATGACCTAAATTCAAAGGCATGTACAAATGCCAAAACATGGAGCATGCTACACAAGCTTTCAAAGCTTCAAAGAGGCATCCAAGGCAAGCATACAAGCATGTTAAAGGGACTGAAATAACATGGAAAATGGTCCCAAATCACTAAATTAAGGCAAGGATGCATGCTACACATTCACACACTTAAGGCCAACAAGCCAAAAATGCAAAGGGGCTATACAATGCACGCCATGGCCGACCCAAACAACTACGGACAGACCTCAAGCCTGGCTTTTAGCCCCGGTACAGAGCCCGAAAACCGGGGCTCGAATTTGGCTCGAATTTGAGAAGGAAGAAGGAGGAAGAAGAAGAAGAAGAAGAGAAGGAGGAAGAAGAAGAAGAAGGAGAAGCAGAACTGGAGGGATTATCAAAATCGGGCCAGAGGCGGAGGCAGAGGCGGAGGCGGGGCTACGATGCGACGATCGGCCGACGAGCTGTGACGACTCTCTCTCGCCTCTTGCCTCTGTTTCTCTCTCTCGTCTCTATTTCTCTTCTCCTGTGTTCAAAACGAAGAAGAAGAAGAAAAGAAAGAAAAGGAAGAAAAAGAAAAAAAAAAAATTAAAACCCAAAACGACGCCGTTTTGGGTTTCAAGCAAATTCGAGCCACTGATTTCGGGCCCTCAAACGTTTCTCTTTGGCATATACTAAAAAAGTCAAAGAGTCAAAAAATCACTATCATATTTCAGTCACATCATCTTATTTAAGTCACATCACATGTCTACCACATCACTTTAAATCCAACTCATATTTTATAAAAAGTCAAAATGTATACTTATTTAGAACATTCCAAATCACACCTAAAATATCTTATTAAAATAATGCCTATATTAGTAGTAGAAGAAGCTGCTAGCTGGCTTTGCATATATATTTTTTGATCAGCAAAGAAAAATTTCATTAATCAACATGAAATTAAAGGTACAGGAAGATGAGATGCACTGAGAGAGATTCGGAAAGTACAAAATACCCCTACTACTGCTACTCGCAACCATACAACCAACCCCTTGGCCTCACGATTTTTTTTTTTTTTAAAAAAAAAGACAAAAAACGTTAAGAAGGACTTAACAAAAAATAAAATACATGATTCCACAAAATCAACCCACCAGTCTAACATCCGAGGTGGAAACCCAACAATTTAAACACCTACAGCACTCCCAATGCTGCAGCACTCTATGTCCTTGCTGCCCACGCCTATGGTGCACACACCCACGCCTATGGTGCTGCATTCCCAGAGCACCTGCTACAATGCCCATGCTTCTCCAGCTACCAACTTCCAACGCCTATGGTGCTGCTGCACTTTACACCTATGCTTCTCCAACTTCCAACGCCAACCTGCTACAACGCCCACCTGCCAAGACCCACGCCTGCTGCGCGCTCCTCTGCTCCTGCACGCTTCTGTGCACGCTCCTCCGCTTCTGCCGAAGACATCTCCATGGCTGGAAAGACTCTATAGCCTCTATACCCACACAAAGCCCCAACCCCAGCAGAAGCAGACTGTCAATCTCCTTGGACTGAATCTATGGCCGGAAACACCTCCAACCATTGGATTTCCAAACCCACACCTGCTGCAAGCTCACCCACACCTGACAACACTCTACCGAGACAGATCCATGGCCGGAAAAACTCCATAGCCAACAGCTCCATGGCTGGATAAAACTCCACTACCATGGTCGGGACCGAGCACTCTTTGCCAAACAAGACCCACTGACATCTCCAAGCCCCGGTGTTGACAACCCAAAACAACGAAATCCGCCGAGATCTGGATGAAGTTCACCCCTCAAACTCCCACTCGAAAAAGGAGCGCTCGAATGAAAGCTTGGACAGATCTGGATCAACTTCAACACCTAGTTCCCCCCAAACAAAACACCGAAGTAAACTCCAAAGATCTGAACCCGAGCTCATCCCTCAAACTCTCACTCGCAAAAGAGCGCCCGAATGAAAATACAACCAGATCTGCTCAACCTCTATAACGGTCCAGAACCGACCTCCTTCTCTGAGTGGATACAAATAAACACCCCATGTTGATACAAATAAACTCCCCTTGTTGGTACAAAAACAAACAAAACAAGGCACCTGAATAAACAAAAGAAAGGACCACAAAGTGGAAAGAAGATGTGGGAATCAAGTTTATTAGAAATAAAAACCAGCATACAAACACACAATAGAGCTGGGCCAGCCGACCGCCATAGCCAAAGGCGGCGGTCGGCCGGCCAAAAGTGAGGCTCGGGGGTGGAGGTTTTTTAGAGAGAGAGAAAAGTTGAGAGGATTGGCGTTAGAGGATTGGCGTTAAGCAAAATTTCAAAAATTGACCCACGAATTGGTGTAGAACTTGCATTATGTCTTGCCATCTTATTTGTGAGGATTGTGTGAGCGAAAATTGTGTAGATGAAGCATTTTTCTTCTCTCAAAACTCTCCTCAGATGCATTCCGTCTTGCCACCTCATTAGGGAGATTGTGAGGAAGAAATTGTATGAATGTATCACTGATGATTGAACAATAGTTGAAGTGCACTCATTAGCAATATGTCTTCTATAGGTATACGTGGTGCGGTTTAGGGCAGTTTGGAGATAAAATTATAAATTAAAGTCTGAATGATGGATTGACAAATAATTAAATCGCGGTTTGGGTAGTTTTAATTTGTTAATTAATTAAAGAATAATCTTAAGCAATTATTAAGCATTTGCATAATAGATAATACTAATTTATATAATTTTTTTCATATATATAATACTAATTAATTTAAAAATATATAATTCATATAAATAACACTAAATGTGCAAGAAATTTCATATTTTAAATCTCTCTTTTGGTTGGTTTCTTATCAATTAGGTGGTGTGCTTGCATTTGCTTGAGCCTCTCTCATTGGTGCCTAGTAGAGCCGAACGGTTTCGAATACAAATTATAAATTTTAAACCCTAGATCAAACTAACCCACAGTTAAAGAGTTAATTAATACGGATCGGTGCGATTTTAATAGACTTGGTGATTTTTTGGCTTAGGCCCCATTTGGAAATTGTGATTTTTAATTAAGAAGTCAAAAAAATTCACTCCTTTTATTTTTTCGTAAAAAATTAAAAAAATCAATTAAAATGACGAAACAGTAGTCTTCATAGAATACTGAAAAATTACTCTTGAAAATAATAATATTTGTGCGGTTGTTTTATTATTTGCGAATAGTATGCATCTACGGCGTTCGTTAGCGGGGCCACCCACCGAATCTATTATAGAACCCGCCCACCATTTTATTAATATTTTTCTTAGGTTTTTGTCTCTCTTCTCTATTTAACGCCTCGTCAACCTTTGCCTTCTTTCTTATCCATCCATCCATACCATTCTTCATTAACTCTCTCTCTCTCTCTCTCTCTCTCTCTCTCTCTCTCTCTCTATCTCTCTATCTCTCTCTATATATATATACATATATATGGGGTATAAATATGCCATGTATAAATTGATATAAACCTAAATAAGTAAAAAAAAAACTCTGTCTCTCTCTCTCTCTCTCTCTAGAGTATTCAGGATGGTATGTTCGGTTTCTCGAACTGGAAGGCATTCTCAGAGATATAACAAAGGCCGTCGCCTTGTTGTTGGGTTTGTTTCTTTTTTGCCTTTTTTTTTCTCCATCAATCTCATGATTTTATATTATTTACTTTCAAATTAAAATCAATTCTTTCAACATTTGATTTTTTGGCTTTTCAACTTCTTAGCATTTCACCAAAGAACAAGAAATTCTTGGCTTTTAATCTCAAAAAGATTCTTTTTCTTTTCCATTATGGTTAGTTTTTGTTTACCTTCTTTACTTTTCAATGATTGTTTTTTTAAATTATTAATTACACACATTTCTATTCTATACATGAATTTTCAATTTAATTCATCGATTTTCAATCCTAACACATAATCATCATGTGACTATTTTTGGTTAGCTTATTATACGAGACTGAAGGTTAGATCTTATTATTATAAATGTACAAAGTTTGATGTCACAATAAAAACATAGAAGAGCTGAAGAGAAATTATATGTAGAATATGAGTAAATTCACCTAATTTTTTTTTCTTCTGCTTTTCTAAAGGAGTATTGGCTTATTTTTTTGAGATGCTATATTTATTCTGATTCATTTTGCTTAATTTCTAATTATGCAGATGCATTCCATATAGATATAAAACTTGCACCACAAAAGGTACAAAAAATGATGAATTAGAAGTTCTTGTGATCTCTTCACAAAAAGGTCAAGGAATGTTATTTCCCAAGGTAACCCCACATTTTAAAATTTATTATTCATAATGTTACAATGTACTAAAAATTATAAAGAAAAATGAAATATATAGTTGGGCACAGTGATAACCTAAAATGAATTGCAGTGACCTAAATCGAATCTGAACCTGACATTGATCTTTTTGTGTATATTTTTGTGAGTTTATTCTGCACATATATTATTATTAATATTATTATTAAACCAAAAAACCAAACCAAACCTTATTATTATTATTATTATTATTATTATTATTATTATTATTATTATTATGTTTTTAAAGCATTCTTTCAATATCCAATGGTTATTCAATATGTATATGCATGCTAATTGTTGTATCGTTGCTGATTCACTAGGGAGGTTGGGAAACTGATGAATCTGTTGAAGAAGCAGCTTCGAGAGAGACACTTGAAGAAGCCGGGGTTCTTGGCAATGTTGAGGTCTATCATCTTTCCATTAAATTTGATGTATAAGTACATATGAATGCGATATATTTATATATTTTATTTTATAAATTATTTGACAATTTGATGAACTATTTAACAATTATTGGATGTGACAATTATTAGATGTGTATGATATTCTTAACAGTATTTACACCAAATAAAGTATATACTTTACATAATATAGAATAGATTATACCATATTTCGTATTCTCCACTCTCCTTATTCCAATCTACATGCATTTTATGTATTAAACCATTAGGCTGCATATGGATTTTAGATTTAAGGACAGATTTGTCAAGGAGCAAAAAAAGAGAAAGAAATATGAGTTAAATTTTTTGTCACTTTTTTTTTTATATTCTATTTCATCAAAATTTCATAAATTCAAAATTCAAACAAACTTTTAATGTTTGATATCAATATTCAAGGTTTATGATATTGTGAATTTTGGCAGGGAGAACTAGGAGAATGGAGCTTCAAGAGCAAAAGCGGAGGAATATATCATGAAGGACGCATGTTCGCATTGCTTGTCACTCAAGAACTCAATCTTTGGCCGGAACAAAATTCCCGCCAAAGACTCTGGGTACGTATGTAGCTTAAAATTGGCTGCTAAGTACATTTTCATCTCATATTTTAATTTAATTTGTGTTTAAATGGTATCAATATCGTTTCCATTCAAATTTTATAATGAAAATAAATTTATTTTTTTGTCCAATTTGGGCAAAAAATTGAGGAAAATGGCGTTGGGGACTATTTAAAAACAAATTGAATAAGATATGCAGTAAATTTACACAATTAATATATTGATAATAAAAATGACACAGAACACTTACTTTGGGGATAGATAGTGCATTCAATCAAAATATTTATATTACGATTTATCTTGTTAATTACCAATTATACCAAAATTGTAGAAACTAACCTAACAATATGAGAGTAGTGCGAGGCAGTGATGTCAACCTAGTTGGGATCTTAATGTTTCACTTTGATACTCTTTGCACCCTCCTCTTTATTGATGTACGTTATCATACTTTGTATGTTTTCTTCATCAATAAATCTTCTTTTTACTGATAAAAAATATATATATATATATAAACGAATGGCGATAATACCATTCTACGTGGTGTATCTCCTCTTTCAATTAATTGAACAATTAACAGTCTCCACCCAATGCCAATTAAAGCCATATGAGTTGGATGAGACCTACTTTACTTTTCAATTAACTGAGCGAGTAATATAATGTTCATCTAACCTCATTTAAAGCCATTTAAGTCATGTGAGACCTCCCTTATCTTTCAATTAATTGACCAAGTAATAATCTTCGGAATAATACTATATGTACCAATTAATATACTAATTAATATATTAACTGATGTTGTGGTATAATTTTAGAAGTTTTGAGTATTTGTAATTTATATAATAAGTGGGTCAATAATAATGACATAACACTAATTGGTACACTAATGTATATATTAATTTGTACATGTAGCACCACCGTAATCTTCAACTGGACTTCATTTAATGCCATTGAAAAATAAATAAAGTACATAAGCTTAAACGGTTAGAAAATGAGTTCCGGTATCTCAAGCTAATAGTTTCCTCCTATGCATGAGTGGAGAAACAGGGAGCACCAAATACAAGCTAATGGGACGATAGAAAGACCATAATTCATGATCTTTTGATATCGGACCTCTAAAACTATGTTAAAATACCAATTATCTCAAATGATTAAACTGTTGCATTGTATATTTTTATCTTGCGTGTGTTATTATGGTGATATCGTTTTATTGAAACATAGAGTTGATTTGGTGTAGATGAATGTGGACAAAGCTAGAGAAGTTTGTCAGCATTGGTGGATGAAGGAAGCATTAGACATATTAGTTGATCGGCTCACATCTCCTAGACAGCACAAGATGGAATAATATATTCCACTTTGTTCTCCAACTTTGACAATAATTTTGTGTTTTTATCTAAGTGTTTTTTTTGTGTGTGTGTGTGCGCGCGCGCAATTGTACATAGGGAACTGCCCACAACCATAGGTATGTATGTCCATGTATCTTTGCAAAACAGAAGATCAAAGGGCTGGTTAGGGCTAAAATGTTGTACTCAAAACTCCATATTGCAAAGAAATCGAATGTGAAAGTGTTAAACCAGTGAGGATTACTGTGTGTATGTGTGTGTGTTTATATATTTATTTAATTTAAATTTTTTTTTTTTTTATTGGCGAAAAAATAATTTGTTGTTTAAATCAAAAGGGCACAATAGAATGAATCTGGTATGAACTTGGAAGTATGACATTTTGGGATGTATGTATGGTGATTTTATGAATATTAGACAACAAAATCAATGGGAAGCTATGTCTTCTAGTCTCATCACAATATGGAGTCCACACTAAGGACTTCACCATCTTCATATTTGCAATTTGTTAACTATCAGCCACTCTAAGAGATAATTATTATCACTATTATATATTCTTATCTTACAATACAACTATAATTTAACCACGGCCCGTTTGGAAACTTGGCTATTTTACTTGATTTTTTGACTATTTGATTATTTTAGCTTGGCTGAAAAAGATTTGTTTGTGATAATAGTTGACTTTTTTTTTTCTTTTCTTTTTTGTACGTGATTTTATGATTGTGAGAGAAAAAGTGAAATAATTATGATTTAAATGTGACATTTTATCTTACTAACTATTTTATTCTTTTTTTTTTTGTTTTTATTGACTATTTTAGTGAAATTTTAACATTCCAAACAGGGCTTAAAGAGTTCTTTAATCCCATCATTAATTAATTGTCAAGATGTAATCACGGATATGCCTTTAAAAGAGAATTTGTCCCAAAATTTATATATTTATAATATCATCGTAGTTTTAAATATCGACCAATATGTATAATTAATTGGGAAGATGTGATCACAGATATGCCTTTAAAAGAGAATTTGTCCCAAAATTTATAGATTTATATTATCATCATAGTTTTAAATATTGACTAATATGTATTGAGATTTTATCATTTTAATATTGATATACTCTCGTGTAGTGATTGAAATAGAAATTATATACGTATCAGTCAGTACATAGTCAATTTACAATTGATACGGCGGCCAATTGAGCTACCATGAACTTTTTTGTGAAAGCTGGTGATTTTAGAAATTTCATGTCTTTTACACTCAATTCCCAACATGCAGCACTAGATATTGCAATCAATAGAGATAAGTTCCTTCATATCGCCATTTAAAATCATGATGATGATATCCTTTAAAAAGAAAGAAATTCCTGAACTAAAATGTTGCTTTCTTGTCCATTCACACGTCTTACTAGCCAAGACTTTTCTAACAAACTGGTTGTTTCTTCTAACCTTCCTTTTTGTGATAGAATTATCTCACTGTCACAAGGCTTGCTAGGTTCATGAACTAAAATGATGCTTTCTTTTCTATTCTCACGTCTTAGTATTCAATTCCGTTGCTAAAAGTATAACAATAACACATTTGCCAATAAAGATATTTCATCACAAAAAAGTAATTTCGCTCTTAAATTTTTATTTTGAACTATAATTTCTTGTCGTGTATAAAATACTATGAACCATAATTTTAATGTCTAAAAAATGAGATGTATGGCGTAAATTTAAAATTAGGATGATATGGACCACACCCACAATAAATGTAGTTTGTTTTATTTTTCTAAATATGTTTTTTTGAGCATGTGGTATTGTTATAAAAGTATAAACTGGACCAGGTCATGCCAACCATACCAAGGATCAAGCTCTAAATTGAGCCAAGATTACTTAAATTTGAAAATTTGCCAAAAATAGTAAGATTCCTAGGAAAAATGTGATTCAAAATGAAATCATTGAGACCCCAAAATTAGGTATTTTGGTTTCCACTTTTTAAAAATAGTATTTTGAGTTTTCAATTAATATTTTTATATTTTTTAATGATTTTTAAAAATATTTTATTTAATTTTTAAAAAATTTAAGATTCACTTAATCTTAATATACTTAAAAAGTAAAAATTTTGTACAAAATCTTTAAAAATTCATTGAATACAACAAAATAAGAAAATGTATTGAATTTTCATTTTTTTTTTTTTTTGCATTTTTTATATTTAGTGAATTTTTTTTTAATTTTTTTCACAAATATCATATTTTTAAGTATATTTAGATTAGGTGTACCTAAACAATAAAAAAACAATTGCTTAAAATATTTTAAAAATTCACTATTTAAAAAAACACAAAAAAAAAAAACTTAATTTTCTGAAAAATAAACTCAATTTTTTGGAATCAAATATTAAATTTTCTAATTCTAAATCCTAAACGATGAATCTTTCTCTAAATTCCAACACAAGGCACTGCGTAGCAATGAGCTGAACTTGTCGGACCGTTTTGATTATTCAAGTATAGATGTTATGAACCTAATCTGATGATCTAAACTTCTTGTTAATTATCACTGTATTACTTCATGTTTAATTAAGCATAATCTTGTCAATTTAAGGTAACGTTTACATTTTTTGTTTATGTTTATAAAAATTTTATAAACTGATTTTTGTTTATTTTTAGAAAAACATAAACTATAAACGCATTTAGTTTGAACAAAATGTTTGAAAAATTTTAAAAACATAAACTAAAAAATATGTTTTTTCAGGCTTAAAATATTTATATTTATTTTTTTATTATTTATGACAATGGGATCATACACATTATAATTGAAAAAAAAAATTAT